AAAAAAAAAAAAAAAAGCTCAATCAAGAAAGGCCGCACTGCCCACTCCATGTAAACCTCCCCACCCAGACTACCCTCGTCCCATGTCCACTGTGGGAGAAGACATTTGTCAATGGCCTTCTGACTGCCCCTGGCCCTCCCTGGACACCTATTCCAAATGGACTGTTCCTCCTCAGGCCAAGAGCCTGGTAGCCAGACCCTCCCAGTGGGGCAGAGGGGCTGATAGTTCTGGCTACTCTCTCACCCCCCCCCATCATCCCCTCCTGCTGTGCAAGCATGGAGTTTTAAATTTTCATCTTTTTTGTTGTTTTTTGTGTTATTGGTGATTGAATCCAAGAGTCCTCTACCTCTGAGCTTCATCTTTATCCCTTTTCTTAATTAAATGAGATCAGGCCTTGCTAAAAAATTGATCAAGATGGCCTTGAACTAGTGACTCTCTTGCCTCAGCAACCCTGATTTAAATTCCATCTCACCAAGAACAAAACTTTCCTGATCATACTTACCCTGCTTCACTCTCCCCCTTCTCTTTATAGTAAAGTCCTTTGAATCCCCTCTGCTGTCCAGTCCTAAATTTACAGTCCAACCTCTTCCCTCAATTCTGGCTCTCATACTCCACTGCCCAGTTGGCATTTCCAGTTAGATGCCTCACAGGTGTCTCCAACCAGCATGCCCTGGCTGGTCACCACAGTGCCTGCCTCAGTCAGAAGCAACTCTACGTATCCAGATGCTGAGGCTGACAAGCCTGGTTCTACTCCATGATTCTTTTCTGTTTTGTTTTCAGTGCTAGAGATCAAACTCAGGCTCTCACGCATATCAAGGACATGCTTAACCAATGAGGTACACTCCAGCCTCTGTGATTCTTCCTTACAACTCACATCCAGTCTGTCCACTAATCCTATGGGCTCTGATGTAGTTCAGTGGTAGATCATATGCCTAGCACACATGAGAGGATTTGGGTTCAACCTCAGTACAGCAAAAAAAAAAAAAAAAAAAAAAATTCACAAATTAAACTCACTTCTGGCTCATGGGAGACATTTATAGTAATGGAACTTAACTTCAAAAGATTAATAACACAGCCAACAAAAATTTAGAGATGAGAAGGAGAGATGGATGTGTAAATGATTTAAGTCATTCTTGCATTGTTTAGAGAAAATAACCATTAACCAACTACAACTTGAAATGATGGCCTCTGCTGGATGATGAAACTGAGGAAGGGAGGAGAGACATTTCTCATGATAACCCTTTCTATACTGACAACTTTCTAACTATTGGCACACATGACATTCTGCAGGATCTACCACACTAACAGGACAAATCTTCCAAGAGAGCATCCTACATAGTCATTTGATATGACAACTTCGGTGCAAATAATTAACAAAACTCTGGATGAACTGGTTATACCTCTTGCGTGAAAATGTAAGATAAACCTGGATAGCTGGTTAGGAAGTTTACAGTGGAGTTTTTCACACGTTCTAGCATCACAATGGAACACAAAGGAGAAAAATTCTTCATTGCCCAACATCTGTCCTCTGTAAAGAGAAAAGCAAACCACTGTAGAAGTAGCAATTCATCTAAATTTTCTGCTCATAAGGCAGCATCTCTTCAAACTGTAAACTTTTTGAGAGTTGGAATTACGGCTTCAGGCCTTGGCAATTATAATCATTTGAAAAATCGTGAAAAATAACAAAGTTACCTCTTCTAACTCCTAGGACTCTTGGGAGGGATTAAAAAAAGAAATATTTAACACAATATGGACACCACAATAAGCAGCAAAAATGGTTAACTTTATGATAGTAGGCCCTCAGTAAATTACCCAGTTCTTTTCATTACCCAAGTTAAGATGAGATCTGAGCAAAATCCGGGCTTCCTTTCTCATCTCCTTCTCTCTCTTCTCAGACATGGAGTAATGAACTGCATTAATGTTCAGGTACGCATGGGTATAGGTAGAGAAGATATCTTGGGCAGGCTGGCCTTGGCTGATGAGGAAACCAAACACCTCCACCTGGCCATAGAGGCAAGTCAAACGGCAGATCCCGCTGAAAGTAAAAGTCTAATGGGGAAGGGAAAAAATGCGGAAATTATTACAGACCCTCTTACTAACGATAGAGAAATTCTAAAATCTTAACTTGCCATTTACATATCAAAAGGCGGCTGATGTTTTACACAACAGAACACACAGTACAAGGTGCCCCCACATGCCTTATTATTATTATTACTATTATTTGCAGTTGTAGATGGACAGAATGCCTCCATTTCCTTGCTTTGGTGGGATGCTGCGCCCCCGCCCCCGGCGGCTCCAGAGAAAGCCTGGGAATTCCTCCACGCAAAGCAGAGGGCCCGCGGCGCTCAGCCTTCCACCCGCTCCAGGCACCCAGGTACCCTCCTCACCAGGCCACCGCCTGCCAAGCCTTTCTCGTTCCCGCCGGTGCCGGGTCTCAGTGGACCGGCAGCTCTCCTGCACGATACCGGGAGGTCACCTGCTCCTCGGTGCGGAAGCACGTGCAGCAGAGGACGGTGACCGCTAAGAACCGGGTGGGAGAGCCAAACGCGATCGAGCACGACCCACCGGCAC